GCTCAGTATTTAGTACCAGACGTACACGTCTGTAGTACTCTTTTCTTATTTTTTACTTCATTTGGGGATGTTGTATGCCATCTCCTTCGCTAATTCCTAGGTACTTATAAGCTTCATCATGCTCCATTTCCCTAATCTTTGTGACAAAATCTAAATCTATTAAGGGTGTTTCTGTAATTCTACCTTTCTTGAATGTTACTTTTGCACATTTATCTAATCCGAAGTCCATACCTATGTCGTCACTGAAGTATTTTACAATATTGAGGAGGCCCTTCAACTCATTGTCGTTTTTGGCAAAGAGTTTGAGATCATTATTTTATTTCCCTTGATTTCTGATGTGTACTCATTTCTTTCCGTGACATTTTCCACTGACCAATTAAAATAAAAATATTTTAAATAGATAAAGCTATTTGTAGGTTGTGGGCTGTACTCGTGAGAACAATTTTTGTATTTCTTTAAAGCATGGGCTACCAGGAATCTCTTCAATGAGTCTACTGGAATCTTTTTCTCAATCCGAGGGCTCCAACTATAGCAGGGATTGTTGATGTTTTATTATTATTATTATCATTATTATTTCCAGTTTCTTTGATTTGGTGTTTGGTGCAATTAATTAAAAATATTTTTACCTGAGATCCGAGATTTTATTTTCTTGTAAGTTTATTGAACAGGATTACATCGAGAAAGATGTTTTCTGAGTTCGTGAGCAATGCGTATGAGCACAATCTTTTGTATCTCACTTTGTGATGAGCTTTCTGGGATTTTCTTAGTGTGTGTATCAGTATTCGTTTAATTCTACCAAGTGCTCCTATTATTATTGGAACAGGGGTTGTGTTTAAATGACACATATTTGGAATTTTTATTTCTAAGTACTTATATTTTGTCAAACATTTTTACTGGAATGATTTTAATCAGATAGGAAGGAATAACACCTTTTGAAGTTATTATTATTATTATTATTATTATTATTATTTCCTTGGATTTCTGTTGTATATACATTTCCTTCCATGTCCAAGAAAATGAAGGTCAGTAATGGCTTCATGACATTTTCCACTCATCATTTTTTGTAAAAAAAAAAAAAAAAAAGAAAAAAGAAAGAAAACCAAAATGACACACATTTTACATAGATAAAGCTCTTCATAATGAGTGAGCTGTACTTGTGGGTACATTTTTTTTGTATTTCTTTAAGGCATGGATTACCAAGCATCTCTTCAGTAAATCAATCCTAATGCTCCAACTACCGCTGGAATTATTTGTTCTATTGTTTTGTCGAGTGTAATCGGTATGTATGATCGACTCCCAATGGTTTCTATTTATACCATTTTTTTCATGGCATATCCAATGCTGGTATTTCTCTATCCTACCATGTCTCTGTTTGAATTCATTTTGAGTTAGAGTAGAGCCACTTGATATGAGATGGTTAATAGTTTCCCCAGTGTTCGTAAAAACGACATTTTGGATTTGGGCCATTCATTTAAATACGTGTCTCGTAAGGACTTGTTGGCATATTTTGATGTTGTGCAGCTTCGATGAATCCTTCTGTTTCTGGTTTCAAGCTTGAGCTTTGCAATCACTACTGGGTCAGATTTTTGTCAGCACCAATTACGTATCGGTCACGTAAAGGTTTTTCTTCTCATTTGGTTTCACCTTAGTTAAGCCCTTATTTTATACTGTTGTTTATAGCCGCTACTTTTGGTATTTCAACTCCTATTTCATCTTGTTTGGATTTGTGACTTCAATGAGGCTTTTTTTGTTGGATTTCTATTGGGAAACGAACTTTAGCATGCGATCATTGTTGAAGTGAAGATATCTTTCAAGATCTATGTTTCGGATCAGTTTTCTATTTCTGTCTGCCTGAGACACGAACAGATGATCTGATTTTGGGGGGTTGGTGCATGTTGTATATATAGTAAAGACTTTGTATCTCTTCATTGAAATGGGACGTAAACACAGATAATGTTAACCTGTTAATAAATTCAAATCTATTTTTGAATTTAATTCAGTTTTATTTATCGCCCTTACTCGCCTAAAAAATTCTATTCTAATTTTTCTTTCCTTTTTGCATATTGGGTTCCTTGTCTTTTATTTATAGCATGTTTTGTTCATATAATTCTTGATCGAGTTGTCGAATCACAGTTGCTTTGTCAATCTTTCTTTGAGCTGTTCACGCCAATTTACCTCCTTTGAAGGTTGCCTGGACATATTTTTCTTCACCAAATTCCGTGTCGATTATCATCACTGAATATTCTGATTGTTTTAATAAACTCTCTAATTGATTATCCTTTTCGAAAACAATTTTACGTCGTCCATGTAAAATAAGTGATTAATGATCAGTTAAGCTGATAAGCACAACTTGTGTGTGTTATTTCATTTGATGGCAGCTTTTAATACAAGACAGAAGAATAGAGGCGAAACAGAATCTCCTTGAAATATTCCTCTATTCACCTGTAAATTGTCACATATTATTTCACCATTAAAGTGCTTTAGGATTAAAGTGTCTGTCCATTTATTTTACACGGGATTTTTAAAGATTAACGAGAAGCGGAGAAATGTCCATTAATTTTAATGTCTTCATGATTCAGTCATGTGGAACACTATCAAATGATTTTTATCGTCTATCCACACATTGCTTCAGTTTCGAGGTTTTCAATGACAAATCTTCCACTAACATCTTGATGATCAGCTGTTGATCTTAGGAAACATAAGAAACTTTCTAGCATCTCTTTGGCTCTTCTGCGAGAATGCTATTTCCATCAAGGGACTGATATGTTCTTTTAGTTAGAATTGAACTTAATATTTTGTAACTCATGGATAAGTATTGGTCAATAATTTGGGAGTTAACGGTTTTAGGGATTTGTGTCAGCCATTTTGGATTTAGTTATGGATTGTTAATGACTTCAAAGAACTGATTTGAATATGGTTTGTGCATGAATGGTAAATAGACTTCCTTTTTTGATTTTGTGAGACTTTGTTCCTTAACTTTTATTGTTGCTTCATTTCTGTTCCTTTATTTCTGTTCCTTTATTTCTTTGTAATTCTGCACCTTTTTTTAAATTAATTCTCTTCATTCGTATTCTAGAATTCTCTTAATGTTGTTTTACTTTGTAGGCTTCATTAATTACCCTGTCTTTTGTGATATATTTGAATTTTCTTTTATATAAACCCCCCCCCCTTTTTTTTCGTATTTTCTTTTTCTTTGCGGTTTTAGCTGCATGCATTGCTTTAGTATCTCCTTTATAGTTGGTATGCCATTTTCGCCTTTTTATGTTTACGTTTTATTTTTAATAATCTCCTGTTTTGTTTTTATTCCATTCATTCTCATTTTCATTTTATTCTAAAAATGAGAGTTCTTTTTTTGTGGAATTTCAATTTATTTCTCTATCTTACTTTGCTACCGTGGTTCTTTTACCCACGTATTGATCTTATTACTATCGCTGCAGAGTTACGGTGAAGTAATGGATAGCGGCTCGGATTGAGCAATCGGAGAGCCGAGTTCGAATTCCAGTCGAAGCCATTATATTCACTTACGTGCTAATATCTTTGGGAAAAGTATGGATCCTCTTCTTCTCCCCCACCCAGCTATTGGTAAATAGCAGGACAGACCGGGTGCTTATAGCCTTGGATGGCAACTGGTCTATCGCAGAAAAAATGGTAACCTACTGCGGGGCAAAATCTGCCTCGTCAGTCATGTATCGAAAGACACATGATCGCTTACGCGTGTATCACATAACTAACTGATTGAACCACCCCAAATTAAAATCAATTTCTTTTATTATTTCAATGATTGATTTGTTTGCTATTTTAATAATGTTTTCCATTTTTTTTAATTTAATTCTCTTCAAATTTTCCTTTATTCATATTGTATTATTTTGTATTTTTATTAATTTTCTTATGTTTTGTTTCTTTAAATTCTTCATGATTTTTGTCGTTTTTTTTCCATATTTTATTTGGTTTTCCTCGTCCTGATTTTCTTGTCTATTTCTAAATATATTTTTATTGAAACTTTCATTTTATTAGTATTCATCATATCGATGGATTTGCAAAATTTTCAATTCTACTAATCTTTAAATTTCTATTCAATTCTGTTTCTTCAAGTTTCTGCATTTGTCAATCGTTTTTCTTTATTGATGTTTCATTTGCTATTTTCTCGTCCATTAGTGTCTATATTTCACTTGGTGTTCGGGAATTTTCTTTTCTATATTTTGTAGGCCTCATTAAGGGCGCTATATTATAAAAGACAGCGTATAGTATAGTATAGTATAGTATAGTATAGTATAGTATAGTATAGTATAGTATAGTAATATACTTGTATATCTTCTTTATAATTCTCCCTATTCCATGAGATTATGAGAGTGGTCATTCTCAGTATTTGAGGGATTTATAGAGGTTGGATTTTTCGATCCCAGACTGGTTTGTGGAGACACGATCATCGGTTAACTGAGCGACGGCCAATGAAGGACGAGTTTATTTGTTTCATTATTAATTACCAAGTTCACATTTGACCCTTTCTGGCAAGAGGTGTTTTATTTGTGGCATCACACTTTATTATTATTATTATTATTATTATTATTATTATTATTATTATCACTATTATCATCATCATTATTATTATCATCATTATTATTATTTTCATTAATATTATTATTGATTGAGAGAGCAGCGTACTAAGGAAGTATGAATGGTTGACAAATATAAAAGGTCCACTCATTCTCATCATTACAACCATTTTGATAAGCGTATACTAATTATATGCATCACACTCAAATATTGAGCAACATATTATGACAGGTTTTGATAAAAGCAGCTCATAAGCTTGAAGGTGAGACTCAGTTACAAATATCTTCACGCCGCTCAGACAATCTCTGTTGAAGGATGTTTCCAAGTGTCTAAATGTGACTCCTATGTTACCTTGGCTATCTCATCTTGCAAACTTAAATACCTTTTGACACCCGGCCATGATACCTTTTTTTCTCATTATTGTTGTTGTTGTTGTTGCCATCATCATGATCATCATGATCATCATCCTTTCTTCTCTTCTCGGCCATCTTCGACTCGTTTTCCTGCATCTCTTTTCTCAATTTTATTCTCATTATTATATTTGTTCTTCTTCACCGACTTCTTCTCGATTACCTTCTCACTATTCTCTTTTACCCTCTTCTTCTTTGCTACTACTCCATCATTTATATCCAGTTTCCCTTTATTAATATTATTATTATTGCTGTCGTCCCTCTTCGCCGTCTGCCGTCTTCTCCGTGACTATCTTCGTCTTTTGCTTTTAAATTTCATATTCCAGTCATTGCACATTCTTGTATCATTTCTGATTTCGCTGATTATGTCGTTCGTTGTTTCATTTTTTTTATTTCCATGCCGTTTAAATTTGTCGTTTTCCTGTGTTTTATCTATACTGGTCTTATCTTAGTTGTTTCTTATGGCATTATTATCGTACTGGTCTTATCTTAGTTGTTTCTTATCGCATTATTTTCGGCAAAATATTAAGACTGACTCATTTTATCTCTCTTCTTTTCCTCTACGTCGCCATGTCAAAATTGATTCATTGGATTTTTCTTATTTTTATTTCTTCTCTTTGTGTTTCTTAATTTTGTTCATCCTTCACTTTGTCTTAGTGCCGTTTTGGCTGTTGTAACTGGTCTTTGTCCTCTGCATTCCTCGTGTCTCTTGATTGAGAGATCGAAGCTGATTCATCCTTTCCTCTTGCATATGTTTTAGCACTTTTTCGACATCTAAGAGACCTAAGGTCAGAAATGGCATCATCGCGTTTTCCACTCAGCATAAAAAATAAAAAAAAATATAAATCACATATATTTTACATAGATAAAGCCATTCTGGTTAGTAAGCATTAGTCCTGTGCAGCAAATAATAAAATCTTCGGTTTCAGTTTTTAACCCTGCACTACTATGCGTACAGGGTTTATTATCTACATCAGCTTGTTTGCTACGGACAGAGTATTGACAGTGAAGCAGTTTATCTTGCCATTGTTTCTGTTTCTGGTCGGTTGCATTTACCTTTGCTTTCTTTTTAAAGTATTTTGCAGCTGTAGTCGATATATTATACTTTACTTGCATTTCTTCACCGATTTGAAACTCCATTTTGAACCTGTTGGCTTTCTTTATCACTCAATAAAGTTTCTTAATTCTTTCATGTTTTGTTTTTTACATATCATCATACAGTCTCCTGTAGTTTCCGGATTTTTGTAGTTTTGTAAGACAGTTATTATTATTATTATTATTGTTGTTGTTGTTGTTGTTGATGTTTCTTTTGATTTCTGTTGTATATGAATGTCCTTCTGGTCAGAAGTGGTTTTATGACATTTTCCACTGATCATTTTTTTAAAAATAAATCCCTAATACCACACACATTTTACATAGATGAAGCTCTTCGAAATGTGCGAGCTGTACTTTGAGTACAATTTTTTTTTTATTTTTTAAGTCATGTGTTACTAGGAATCCCTTATCTAAATCTTTTCCAATCAATCCAAGGTCTCCAACTATAGCTGGAATTATTGATGTCCTCATGTACCACATTTTTTAGATTTCCACTTCAAGTTCTTTGTATTTTGATAGAGTTTCTTGAAGATTGCAATTTGCTGAGACAGATATTTGAATAAGAAAACACATTCTGTTTTCGTGGTCTTTCATCACAATGTCTGTACAATTAATTTCGATTATCCTGTCTGTCTGTATGATAAAATCCCATAAAATTGTTACAGGGCCTATCTCAGTAATCAGGATTGTGTTATCTTCAGACTAGTTTCTTGTAGTTTCCTTCCGTAAAAGTTGCATATTTTCAAGTGCAGATATTGGCCTAGTCTATCATGCCGAGTCTTATATTCAATGGGTGCTAACACTGTGCAACCTGATACAAGATAATCAATTGTTTCTGGATATTTATCACATAATCTGTATTTCGGATTGACACTATTTTTTAGTACGTGTGCTTGATAATTTCTAGTGAGCGAGCATTGGTCCTGTGCAGCAAGAATAAAACATTTAGTTTCAGCTTTTAACTCTGCACTACATAACCAATGATAAGTACGGGGTTTGTCTACATCAGTTTGTTTGGTACAGGAAGAGTATTGACCATTATTATTATTATTATTCGTTGTTTCCTTCTCCGATGATTTCGTTTTCTGTATTACTCTCTTATTATTATTTTGAATATCCACCTTTAAAGAAAAAAAAAGTCATCAAACGAAAACTTAGAAACTTTCGTTCCTCTAAAATTTCATTTTTCTCTTTTTTGTAAGGGAAATGTTTTCTAACTCCACATTTATTTCATTTCCACTATTTTTGTCTTTGTCTTTCGTTCGATTTGGACTTCACATATTTTTGCAAAATCATTGGAAATATTTTTTTTGTTGTAAATTAGGGACAATTATTTTGGTAAAATTCTTAATGGCGGTCAGATGAAAGAAATAGCTAATGGGACATTATTTTATGTGTATTTTTTAAATAGAAGGTTGAAAAGAATTTGACTGGAAAGAGGTTGCGAAAAGAAAAAAAGAATCGGGTTGAAACTTGGATGTCGAAGCCCCCATGGCTGATCTCTTAATAGCTGCCTTCCTGATTTTGTCATCTTAAAAAGAAAGTAGAAAAACGTCGACTTTAACGCCATATTTTGGAGCCCTGCAGTTATCTGCAGTGTCATTATGGCGTTCAATGAATTCTAAAGACTTTTTCTCCCACTACCCTTTTTCGTTCCTTCTCCTCTCTTTCTATTTCTTGATATTTTTCTTCATTTCTACTTTCTTCTCCTTGTTCTTTTCGTTGTCCTTATCTTCTTGCTACCCACTTTTTTCTTTCTTTATCTATAGAAATTCTTTCTTTTCTTAATCTAATTTTTCCTTCTTTCTTTCGCTTCCCTCTTATCTTCTTTATTTTCTTCTTTCGATTCCGTCACTTTTTTCTTTCCCTTCTTCTTTCAAGTTTCCATATTCCCTTTAGTATTTCATTTATCCACTTTTCTTCTTTCGTTTTTCGTCATTTTCTTTCTTCAATTCCGTTCATCTCTTTTTGCCAACCAAACTCGACTTATTGAAACAAAACGAATTGATCAACCACAAATCGATTATTCAGAAACAAAAGGTATTTCTTGAAGTATATTTTCTAGTTCAAATCCATGTTCTTTTAATTAAATGTAAATATTTACTATATTTAATCTAGTCTGACATAAGGCTAAAATTGCGCACACTTACTGATAATCGAATTCAGTGACAATCACCCACGAGATTAATGTCGTTACAGACCAGTTGCTCTAAATAGCTGTTTATTCAGTGTAGTACGGCAAGTGATAATCTAATCAAGGCTCTTATTGATGCTTGAATAGCCTACACTAACTATCGTCTGCATGGGTAGTATTGTTCCATGGCAAAGGTATATGCAGAATTTAGAAGTTACTTGCTCTAGTTTCGCACAATACCCAAATAATGAAACACACAGTAAGAATCGAATTTATTACAATAGTCACTTTGAGATTAGCTTACTTCTCGGCATTTCAAGCCCGTTGCAAACTATATCTGCGATATCTGTCCGAAAAGCATTCAGCCATTTGGAATATCTCTAGTATTTGACTTGATTGAAGTTGGTCATTTAATCATAAGGGACCTTACTGCATATGCCTGAGCAGACACTCTCATGTGGGATTAAATAGTCGGCGATGAGACGTTATTGAGTGAGCTTGCGTATCGTGTGATTCAAAATGACCAAGCTAGTAGATCAGTGAAGTATTGTTCAGGATATTTTTTACTTTAGTATCATGATCAAAGACAGGTTCTACTTTCTCCTTTATTTCTCCTCCCCACTCCCTCTCATTATCTCTATCACCTCTTGCTCTCCTCTCTCAGCTATCTCCCCTTCTCTCTATCTCATCTCTCGGTTCTTTCTCTCTCACCCTCTCTCTCTCTCTCTCTCTCACACACACACACACACACACACCTACAGACATGTATAGGTTGTCTCAGGTACCACAATTCGAGTAGCACTGGCGTACACCTTTCGAAAGAAAAGCACTGCATAACATTATATTGCATATTTTGTGTTGCAATCATTCATAATATTGGTTATATAACCATCACCTTTTCCCGAATTCAGTTATATAAGTGCTGTTTATTCCATTAGTTTACACCAAGTACTACTAAATAGTAACCGTGTTGTTGTTAGAAACTAAAATAATGAACCAAAGGATGAATAAAATGTCCTTCGATGAAGAAAATAGAATCTGTGTCTGTTTAAAAACCTATACATTCTGTTCAGAGAATAAATTCGCTTTTAGTTTTTCCTTTTCTAATTTAGATCTTCATAAAGCAACATAGACATCATAAGGCCAACATTCCTTGCATTGTATATTGCTGCCACATCCGGTCTGGTGCTCCTGGTAATATTTACAAATTTTTGATAAAATCCAAAGAAGAATCTACAATATTATTGTAACTGACCTATCATCTCGATTTCAGTCATTTCCCCCCACCGGCTTAACGTAGCTTCCCTGTGCCTTTTCTAGAAATAATTTTATGGTAATTGTTTGGATGAATTTTCCTCTATGGTACCTAGAATTTATGAATTTGAGCGCGTCACTAGATTGGCGCCAAGGTCTCATCATATTACAGTTGAAATGGATAAATGTAACCATACGCTTTATACTAACAGTTTCTTCTCTCGCACTTCTCGCTTGCGGAACTCACTTCCGGCTTCTTGCTTCCCAGTCAACTTTGATCTTCAAAAATTTAAATGCAATGTCAATCGTATTCTTCTTTTTTCCTAATTCTTGTCCTTTTATTGTCCTTTCTCCTTAATAGTATATTTTTCTAATATTCTTAAACACTCGGTAATCCTTTGTAATGCTTGGGGTGAAATGATTAAAAAAAGTTAAATGCAAACCTTGTGTCCAACTATTAAGGTATTGGATCTGGAAAATGTCTAAGCATTCAATTGAAAGTTCTCAGTCAAAACCTTATCGGCAGTTTTTGTGCACACTCACTACAATGTTCACGTGTACAAAAACTAAAAAGATATTTACATTTGTGGGTTATCCCCAAATAGCTTCACTAGTTTTGTCAATCAATCGTTAGAGGGCACTGTGAAGCCGCTATAAAACTGGGACACTTCCTGTCTTTCTCTCTCTTCTCTTTCTTTTCCTCCCTTACTATTTCCCCTCTTAATAAGTGAACTTTTTCACACACCCATACACACACGCACACATGCACACACGTATCACGCAAACAATTCCTAACTTTCAATATCTTGAACTATCAATATCTCCAACTATATAAATACCAAAATATAAAATATCGCCATGTTGAAATTCATTCTATTTCCATACACCCATCATTTACATGTCTAAAATTCTGTTGCCACGGCTTTTAGTCTAACAAAGGGACAGTGTTTGCAATATTTGGTGACTACAACCTTTATTAAACATGCATCTATCACAAAATGTTTCATATTTCTCGTCCTTAATCAAACTTGTATTAATGAAGAATTGCTGTGTAAGTTATTATTTCAACATTAAATTTGTATACTTGTAAAATACAAGTAAATAGGTTAACAAATGTGTTAGGTTTGGGTTTTGTAAAAGAGCCTTTACTTTCAATTTTTCATACATTTTTAACATTTTATACACACAATCAATACACTGATTAATTTGTCTCGAGTTATTTTAATATCCTGGATTCATTAATGATTATATTAGCGTAGGAAAAATGAATGGCATTAAGTGAGGACAAAGTTCAAAGCCGATTATTCCTGATCCTTTGAATCTATACGTTAGAGTCAGTATTTAAACACTGACCATTTTATTTTGCTCTTTCAAAATGAGAACATTACAAGAATTAAAAACCAAAGATGAAAGGCAGAAAAAAAGGAATATTTTTTATAATGTACAAAGTGTTTTGTGAAAATGAGAGATTTTTATTACTTGTATACAGGGTGTAGATAGGTTCATCTATTTCTTTTTCGCATTCCTTCCCAGTCTTTGAAAACGAGTAGCAGTTTATCTCTTGTTCAGGGTTGGGTTTTCCGTTCCTTTTCATTCTCTTTCACTCCTAGTAACCACTTGTGTCTTAGTGGAACTATTGTATATGTAATTAAGTTTCTGAATTTTTTCTATATAAAAAATATATTTGTGTTTTAATTCAAAAGTGGGTCTTTGAATTTTCTAGGATTTTATAGCATATTTTGTATCATTACTCTTGGTAATTGGGGTTGAGAGAATTTGGGCCTTTCGAAAAATTTCAGGTAAGCTTCCTATTCAAAACAACTTCAAATTACGAAGAGATCTTTGAATTATTTCTTTTTATAGGTGGAGTACATTTTCCTGATGCCACTCTCCAAGAGTTCCCACCACCAACAGCCCAATGCTCCAGTTTTCTATGTTTTGAAGGTCCGAAATAACATTGTCTTTGATGTGATATTTAAATTTATTAACGAGAAAAAAGTTTCCACGATGAAATGATTTTAATAAAAGCTTTATTTGACACTGAAAGAGCAGGTTTATTTTCAAACGTTGGTCATATATTTCTTCAGGTGATTTGATTTATTTTTCTCCATCCTATCAACGAGTTTCTTTTCTTCTTTTTTGAAATTTTTCTTTCTTTTTTATTCAATTTCTTATATTCATCAGTTTTTAATTCATGTTTTCCATTTTTATTTATGTCTGTCTTATGCGTTTTAAATGTTCGTGTTTAAATCTTTCTTTATCGATTTTGTTTAATTTTTATTTTTTTCGCCCTTTTTGGATTTTCCTTACTCAACTTTCTCGATTATTTATTTTTAAATATTTCGCTTTTCTTTCTTTCTTTCTTTCTTTCTTTCTTTCTTTCTTTCTTTCTTTCTTTCTTTCTTTCTTTCTTTCTTTCTTTCTTAATTGTCCTCTTTAATATTTTCTTTATTCTTCAATTTTAGAATATTTTTTCTTCAGAAATTGAACTTTTCCTTGCCAATTAGCGAAGTCGTCCATTATAAGAGGATACATGCTTTATTTATGGAACACCTGTGTGTGACGTCATCGTATACACAATGACATCATCTTTCATATCAACAATAGCTGTATCTGCTTACCGATTAAAAATTGAAAAAAGTTCTAACTTCCCGAAATTTCGAGTAGCATTTGGTATGTATGTATGCATGTATATGTGTGTGTATATATATATATATATATATATATATATATATATATGTATGTATGTATGTGTGTGCGTGCGTGCGTGTATATGTGTGTGTATGTGTGTATACGCAGATATGTAAATTTGTATGCATATGGAATATGCATACATGCATACTTGTATGTGCGTCTATGCAAGTATGTGTGTATATAAGGTATGTGTGAATGTGTATATAAGTGTATGTAAATATGCAATTTAGTGTATGTTTGCGTACTTGTTTGTCTTTGTTAGTGCAAGTGTGAACTGAGTTCCACCCAGAAAAAACACATTTAATTACATGTCTATCTATTTTACAGTTTGTAAAAAGAGCTTTCCCGCCATTTTCCCGTGAAAAACTGAAGATCTTTCAAATCATCAAATGTATTCAAAAAATGAAAAGAAAATGAATAAAAGCTGTTCAGTTTCTGCAATGCTTCCTTTAGTTTAACTTAATTCAGGATTAAGTGCATTTTGGAGACATAAACTAGGAAGATTTACGCCAATTTATAGATGTACGCCAATTTTTAAAAGAGGAAAAGCCTTGTGTGCTGAGAAAATTAACAGACGAAATCGTGTTTTCACCTTGGTTTAAATACCAATGGGAAAGATGTAAGTATTTCAAGTACCAGAGTAGGTCGCAAATATTTACTTAGCTAAGTCTGGTACAAAGCTATGTGCAAACTCACTATAATAATAGATGTTAATAATGATATGCTAGTCGAGTAAACATGGCATAATAGCGAAACTATATGTTTATATATATATATATATTAATAAATAAATATATGATTCCTCACCACGACTCGGTGTTTCATGCACAACGCAATCTTTAATTTTTTTTTAATAAATATGCTGGAACACTCCATATATTTATTATACAATGATTGCAAATTTTTATTAAAAAAAAAGAAAAAGGAAAAAAAAAGAAAAAATAATACTTTAAATACTTAAAGTTAATACAAAATTTCATATAAAAATATATATATATATATATATATATATATATATATATATATATATATATATATATATATATATATATAACTAGAATCGTTTGAAAAACCCTCGAATTTTTTGATTTGCTAATAATCAAATCAATCTCGAGGGAAAAAAGGTTTAAAAAAAAGAAAGAGCTACAAACATGAACTTCTGTCGAAAAAAATCGCACAGATGCAGGTCTGAAGCCCAAAGAAAAAAAACCCGATACGAGTAAACAACTAACTAACAAAAGCCTAACTAACAAAAGCGCTCAATACAACCGTAGAGCAGACCTAGATACACCTAGTGAGCTAGACAAACCTATCTAGGTTTCACCTAAACGGATCGTCAGGGAAAGTAAGTATATATATATATATATATATATATATATATATATATATATATATATATATATTTGTGTATTTAAGCAGCAATCCTTCTTTCATGCATGTTTCATTGAATATGACAGACAAGGTTCTTTGATTTAGTTTTTTTATACAATTTCTCATGTGATCTTATCATTTTTTTTTGGTAGATAAATTATATAAAAACTGTTCAATTGTTTTTTCTTTCCGAGCGCTGTCTGTCATATATTGAGCCATTTTCAAGGCTGAAATATATTAACTGTTAACAATATATATATATATATATATATATATATATATATACAAATTTAAAAGAATGAAAAACATTTTAACGTTCAAAACATTAATTTAAAACAGGGCTCAATACAAAAGTAGGGCAATAAATATTTATTTATTATGCACTGTTACATTAAGACATGTACATACCTACTATAAAACTTGCTTCAACGTTAAAAAGTAACGTTTCTTCAGGTGGGAAACCATGATGATAATAAAATACTTTTTATTCCGAAATACAGTTAACGAAGCACAACTCCAACTTCCGTCTTTGGAAAATGTTCCATAAAAGGTAAAAAGGATTTCTATATGGAGAAAGAAAGAAAGCTAAGTGATTAATAAAAGCGAAAGAGGGAAGGGGGAGAGGAAAAAAGACGAAGAAAAGGAAATAAAGGTTAAGACGCAACCAATGAAATTCCGTCGAATCAAAGAATTCAAATTTAAACGATAACGTAGCCAGTTTAGATTAAAGTTTCTATGGCAAAAATGTTCCATATTCAAAGAAAATTATTCATGGAATGCAAAGGAGTAATACAATACTTAATAAAATAGAATTTACAATTTAAATTAGAATACTAAACAAATTTTAAACCTTTATTTTGTTATATTAATTATACTTAACAGAACTAACTTTACAGTAAGAATTAGAATAATACAAAAGTTTAAAATGTATTTAGTATACATTTTAAACTTTTGTATTATTATTATTTTTGCATTTATTTTTGTATTATATTATTTTTGTATTTTTTTTTTACTATTAAAGAGAAAAATAATCCAAATAATATAACGAATAAATATTTAAAATAAATTTTTAAAAAATAAATAGAGAGTGAAATAGAGGTAAAATAAAATTAATATTAACCTCCAAATTACAGTAAATTAAGCTGGAAATGAGAATTGATGTTATTGCCCATAGAAAGGTAAAAGATAAATGACGGAAGATATAGTTGAGTTTGGATCAAAACCCGACCGATTTGGTGTCAGGCAGAGTTCCTACCCTTCAACACTCGGCCGAGAGAAAATGCTAATTTTAGCGTATTGTTTTTACGAATATGAACAAACGTCTAATCATTTTAAATTTCTATATTATTATATCAATCATAAGGTATTATTAAAGAGGTCAGGTAACAATGACTAAAATAATGTATAAATAATAAAAATAACAAAAATAAAATTAAGATTAACATTTATTACGGTTAACTTCGACACAGGAGTAAAAATAAATTATAGTTTATTTAAGTTTAGAGTTAAATTTAAAATAAAATTAAAATGAAATATATAATACAAGTACAACTAGACTAGATTGACGACGGCCACAATGCAATGTTTATAAACATAATAAACATAAGACTGAGTGGTTAGAGTGTTCGTTTATTGGCTATGTGACTCAGATTTTAATCTCACGATTTTTTCAGGTAGGTGACTTCTGGATCCTGGGAAGACGATTCTAGCGCACGGCACCTTTGCCGGAAAACCATGGTTTCTCCAAGTGTCATATAGGGCATAAATGAATGGAATTGCCCATTTATGAAAATAATCGGAGTTGAGAGAGTTATATATATATATATATATATATATATATATATATATATATATATATATATATATATATTTGTTTGTTTGAAAGAAAAGATGTATGATAAATTGAAAAAAATTTTGTCATACACTTTTTCTTTTAAAAATATATAAAATGTATACATCATTATTACACACACACACACACACACACATACACACACACACATATATATATATATATATATAAACTTCTTATCAACGGGCTAATAGTCGGGAGGGGGTCCGTTAAAACCGATTGTCCGTAGATGGGAAGGGATTATTTTTGAATTATATAAATGCTATAGTAACTATCAGTAGTTATGATCATAATGTAAATACTATAAACATATATATATGGCATAAATAAAAATATACTTAATATAGATATATTAATCACAATAACAAAAATAATAGATTTCTTACAGGTAATTTCTCACGTACTCTCTAATATATTGTACTTTATATACTGTACACTCGTCTTTGTTTAAAATTGAAAGACCCGCCGCCGTCACGAGGACACTTTGAGAACTAATACGACCCGCAATTTTGAAATACATCGCTGACGATTTGGAAGTTTTGTTTTTCCTGCAGAATCTTTTTTATTTTGCCTGCAGATTTTCTCCGTTGCATCCGAAGTCCGTTGAGGGGGTGTCCGTAGATGAGAGGTTTGTCTGTATATGTAAACGTTTTGGATGTATTAAGTTAAAAGATAGTTTACGGTAGAATCAGGAATCCGCCCCCCAAATTTGTAAAAGTATTTTGGGATTGTATCTTGGATTCTATATCTAATAGCGTCTACTGTAAGCTTTAAAGTTAACTCAAAAACGAAAGATATGTTTATATGAACTTTTATCCTTGTTTTGATGTTTGGAACCCGCCCTAAAGTTGGTAAAAAAGTATTTTGATACATCCTGTATATATATATATATATATATATATATATATATATATATATATATATATATATATATATATATATATAGATGTTATCTCATATATATATATATATATATATATATATTAGTGGATTAGTGAGTCTGTGACCCTGGATTTCATGCTATTTGCGATCGTCAGACAAACTCTGACGATCGCAAATAGCGTATAAAATAGGAAAGTAAGCATTAAGTGAAACGGGACGAATGAAAAGGTTTTGACTTGTAAGTTCGCCACGGGGGACACGGTACAACTCTCTTGGTATGTTTTATGTTTTTATTTAGGACGCATTAAAATTGTGCTGGGTATATGGTCAGACGAACAGCAGCTGGTTTCTACATCTGCCTCTGTTGTGGGCTAAATAGCAACTACCCTCAATAACGGGCTAACCCATGGCCCAGTGGATAAAGACGTTGGTTAAATCCAGTGACTAGACACAACTAGAGTTATGAGATCAATACAAGGCGGTGGTGAACCAAAAAACTTGGAGAGTTCAGTTAAAGGGAAATAACTGAGATACCCGGAAGAAGAACCGGAAGAATCTACCCAGGTTGGCGAAATAAAGGGTTCAGTCCAAAATTCCAATCACCTGAAGAAGGACGGAGCGTACAACGGCCGAAAAGTTGTGAATATAACTTTCTTTTCAGTTTTCCACTTAGCCGCTGCTTTTCTAAAGTTTTTATTTTTTACTTTTTCTCTCCTTTACAGTCTATCGAGTTTCTTCTTTCTTCTCTTGTTCCCCACTTTTACTCTTGTTTTCGCCTTCTTTCTTTTTCTACACTTTGTCCTTGCTTTTGTCTTCTTCTTTCTTCTCTTGTTCCCCACTTTTACTCTTGTTTTCGCCTTCTTTCTTTTCCTGTTCCCCACTTTGCCTTTGTTTTCGTCTTCGTCTTTTTTTCTCTTTTTTCCCCACTTTTACTCTTGTTTTCGCCTTCTTTCTTTTTCCTGTTCCCCACTTTGCCTTTGTTTTCGTCTTCGTCTTTTCTTCTCTTATTCCCCACTTTTACTCTTGTTTTCGCCTTCTTTCTTTTTCCACACTTTGTCCTTGCTTTTGTCTTCTTCTTTCTTCTCTTGTTCCCCACTTTTACTCTTGTTTTCGCCTTCTTTCTTTTCCTGTTCCCCACTTTGCCTTTGTTTTCGTCTTCGTCTTTTTCTTCTCTTATTCCCCATTTTTACTCTTGTTTTCGCCTTCTTTCTTTTTCCACACTTTGTCCTTGCTTTTGTATTCTTCTTTCTTCTCTTGTTCCCCACTTTTACTCTTGTTTTCGCCTTCTTTCTTTTCCTGTTCCCCACTTTGCCTTTGTTTTCGTCTTCGTCTTTTTCTTCTCTTGTTCCCCACTTTTACTCTTGTTTTCGCCTTCGTTCTTTTTCCACACTTTGTCCTTGCTTTTGTCTTCTTCTTTCTTCTCTTGTTCCCCACTTTTACTCTTGTTTTCGCCTTCTTTTTTCTTTTCCTGTTCCCCACTTTGCCTTTGTTTTTCGTCTTCGTCTTTTCTTCTCTTGTTCCCCACTTTTACTCTTGTTTTTCGCCTTCTTTCTTTTCCTGTTCCCCACTTTGCCTTTGTTTTCGTCTTCGTCTTTTCTTCTCTTATTCCCCACTTTTTACTCTTGTTTTCGCCTTCTTTCTTTTTCCACACTTTGCCTTTGTTTTTCGTCTTCGTCTTTTTCTTCTCTTGTTCCCCCACTTTTTTACTCTTGTTTTCGCCTTCTTTCTTTTCCTGTTCCCCACTTTGCCTTTTTTTTTTCGTCTTCGTCTTTTTCTTCTCTTATTCCCCACTTTACTCTTGTTTTCGCCTTCTTTCTTTTCCTGTTCCCCACTTTGCCTTTGTTTTCGTCTTCGTCTTTTTCTTCTCTTGTTCCCCACTTTTACTCTTGTTTTCGCCTTCTTTCTTTTCCTGTTCCCCACTTTGCCTTTGTTTTCGTCTTCGTCTTTTTCTTCTCTTATTCCCCACTTTTACTCTTGTTTTCGCCTTCATTCTTTTCCTGTTCCCCACTTTGCCTTTGTTTTCGTCTTCGTCTTTTTCTTCTCTTATTCCCCACTTTTACTCTTGTTTTCGCCTTCTTTCTTTTTCCACACTTTGTCCTTGCTTTTGTCTTCTTCTTTCTTCTCTTGTTCCCCACTTTTACTCTTGTTTTCGCCTTCTTTCTTTTCCTGTTTCCCACTTTGCCTTTGCTTTCGTCTTCGTCTTTTTCTTCTCTTATTCCCCACTTTTTACTCTTGTTTTTCGCCTTCTTTCTTTTCCACACTTTGTCCTTGCTTTTGTCTTCTTCTTTCTTCTCTTGTTCCCCACTTTTTACTCTTTGTTTTCGCCTTCTTTCTTTTCCTGTTCCCCACTTTGCCTTTGTTTTCGTCTTCGTCTTTTCTTCTCTTATTCCCCACTTTTACTCTTGTTTTTCCTTCTTTCTTTTCCACACTTTGTCCTTGCTTTTTTGTCTTCTTCTTTCTTCTCTTGTTCCCCACTTTTACTCTTGTTTTCGCCTTCTTTCTTTTCCTGTTCCCCACTTTGCCTTTGTTTTCGTCTTCGTCTTTTTCTTCTCTTATTCCCCACTTTTACTCTTGTTTTCGCCTTCATTCTTTTCCTGTTCCCCACTTTGCCTTTGTTTTCGTCTTCCTCTTTTTCTTCTCTTATTCCCCACTTTACCTCTTGTTTTCGCCTTCTTTCTTTTTCCCACTTTGTCCTTGCTTTTGTCTTCTTCTTTCTTCTCTTGTTCCCCACTTTTACTCTTGTTTTCGCCTTCTTTCTTTTCCTGTTCCCCACTTTGCCTTTGTTTTCGTCTTCGTCTTTTTCTTCTCTTATTCCCCACTTTTACTCTTGTTTTCGCCTTCTTTCTTTTTCCACACTTTGTCCTTGCTTTTGTCTTCTTCTTTCTTCTCTTGTTCCCCACTTTTACTCTTGTTTTCGCCTTCTTTCTTTTCCTGTTCCCCACTTTGCCTTTGTTTTCGTCTTCGTCTTTTTCTTCTCTTGTTCCCCACTTTTACTCTTGTTTTCGCCTTCTTTCTTTTCCTGTTCCCCACTTTGCCTTTGTTTTCGTCTTCGTCTTTTTCTTCTCTTATTCCCCACTTTTACTCTTGTTTTCGCCTTCTTTCTTTTTCCACACTTTGTCCTTGCTTTTGTCTTCTTCTTTCTTCTCTTGTTCCCCACTTTTACTCTTGTTTTCGCCTTCTTTCTTTTCCTGTTCCCCCACTTTGCCTTTGTTTTCGTCTTCGTCTTTTCTTTCTCTTATTCCCCACTTTTTACTCTTGTTTTCCTTCTTTCTTTTTCCACACTTTGTCCTTGCTTTTTGTCTTCTTCTTTCTTCTCTTGTTCCCCCACTTTTACTCTTGTTTTCGCCTTCTTTCTTTCCTGTTCCCCACTTTGCCTTTGTTTTTTCGTCTTCGTCTTTTTTTTCTTCTTATTCCCCACTTTTACTCTTGTTTTCCTTCATTCTTTTTCCTGTTCCCCACTTTGCCTTTGTCTTTTCGTCTTCTTTCCCTTTTTTTTCTCTTGTTTCCCCACTTTTACTCTTGTTTTCGCCTTCTTTCTTTTCCTGTTCCCCACTTTTTGCCTTTGTTTTCGTCTTCGTCTTTTTCTTCTCTTGTTCCCCACTTTTACTCTTGTTTTCGCCTTCTTTCTTTTTTCCTGTTCCCCACTTTTGCCTTCTTTTTCGTCTTCGTCTTTTCTTCTCTTATTCCCCACTTTTACTTTCTTTTTTTCTTCTTTCTTTTTTCCACTTTGTCCTTGCTTTTTTCTTCTTCTTTCTTCTCTTGTTCCCCACTTTTACTCTTGTTTTCCTTCTTTCTTTTTTCCACACTTTGTCCTTGCTTTTGTCTTTTTCTTTCTTTCTTCTTTTTTCTTCTTCTTTTTCCACTTTTACTTTGTCCTTTTTTTTTTCTTCTTTCTTTTTTTTCTGTTCCCCACTTTGCCTTTGTTTTCGTCTTCGTCTTTTTTTCTTCTTTATTCCCCACTTTTACTCTTGTTTTCGCCTTCTTTCTTTTTCCCCACTTTGTCCTTGTTTTTGTCTTCTTCTTTTCTTCTCTTCCTTCCTTCACTTTTTCACACTTTTTTTTGTTTTTCTTTCTTTTCCTGTTCCCCACTTTGCCTTTGTTTTCGTCTTCGTCTTTTCTTCTCTTATTCCCCACTTTTTACTCTTGTTTTCGCCTTCTTTCTTTTCCACACTTTGTCCTTGCTTTTGTCTTCTTCTTTCTTCTCTTGTTTCCCCACTTTTACTCTTGTTTTTCGCCTTCTTTCTTTTCCTGTTCCCCACTTTGCCTTTGTTTTCGTCTTCGTCTTTTTCTTCTCTTATTCCCCACTTTGCTTTTGTTTTCGTCTTCTTTCTTTATTTGTTTCCCGTTATTTTCCTCTTCTTTCTTCTCTTCTTTCCCACTTTGCTATCGTTTTCATTTTCTTTCTGCCCCTCCCCTTTACATCTCCAGTCATCATCATTGTCTTCAGCAAATTTTCATTTTGTCTTTTTTTGCTATATGGAAAAATTAATTAATTTGAGCCGTCTAACATTTTTCCAACTACTTTATTCTTCCTGACAGTCTCACAAATGCACACTATTCACCGAAAGAAACAATATTTTTCACAATGCTGTTTCAAGGTACCTGATATAAATGCTTCTGTTCTTTCGACAGTAAATGCCTAATTCTGGATGCATTTGATAATATTTCTGCGCCGAACACATCACTCACTCTTCCCTTGAAGTCGCGTCAACCTTCCGCCACGTCACCGGTGTACTTGTTAATCGAAATATCCATTAGATATATTTCTTCTGTGGAATATGCATGCAACATTGAAGGCAGCAAACGGATTAGAACACAAACACAAACAAACAAGCAAAACAAAAAGACAACAGTCGGATCTGAGTCCGTATCAATGTAATCAATATAAAGGCACCCGAAGAAACTTATGCGAAAAGACGTTATCTGGAGAAAAACACGCCATATAATGATAGGTAAAAATCCTTCCAATGTTTGTTTTTTACAATAAAATCATTTTCAATGTATTTCTGTAGTAACCTTTCAAATTATTTCTATAGTAAAAGCCACACCCAATTTATTGCAGTAGTAAAACACATACATATGTCTTCTCGTAACATCTCTTTTCGATGAATTCCTGCACAAAAATCTATTTCCAATAGATTTCCAGTGCATTATAATCTGTAAAATCATACCCCAATGCATATGATTGGTAAAATTTCTTTGCCACGCAGTCCAATTGTAAAATCGAATCTTAAGGCTAGAAATCCATTTGAACATATTACTAGAGTAACATCAAGTTAAAATACATTCGTATAGTAAAATCACTTACCAATGATTTCCTAAATTTAATTCAATTTTTTCAATTCTTACCATAGTAAAATCACTTTGCAGTAAATGTCTGTAATGATTTTTAATAAAAATCTGTATTGAATCCACGTTGCAATTAATGTCTAAAATGAAATCACATTGCAACGAATGTCACTAATGAAATCACTTTCAATTGAATATTAATATTGAAACACTTTTCTACTGTAAGATAACTGAAATACTTCCGTACAATTAAAAAAAAAACTTTCCAATACTTTTCCTACAATAAAATGCTTTCCTAAAATGAAAAATACTTAAAATCAATTTCCAGTGCATTCCTCCCGTAAAATCATTGTTATATAGGTTAGGAAAGCAAAACTTGCAAAATTGTTGCAATCTTCCAAACTCGCTTATGATGCATAAATAGACACATGGATAGAAGGGGCTGTTGTAGAGTAATTGGTCATGGTTAAATGTAATTGACAGAAATACCCAACAAACAGAATTGGAAATGTTTGTAATAAACAATAACAAGAGAAAGAAAAGAACAGGGCAAAAATAATATTAAGTAAGCAAACATTATATACAAGACAAAACAACAGTAATAAAGCAAAAATTTCAAAAACTAAGAATGGGATTACAACAAAAATGGGGATACTGACAAGTGATTGCAGCGTTCTGGCTTCGAGAAAAGAAAGAACAGAACTAAGCCGAGTGAGACGGAGAAGTAGCCTAATTTTATTGGTTAGGAAAAAATCCCAGCATGTATCTGGTTGTTTCGTTTATAAATTATGGAGTGGGGAGTATTTCGTAGTCCTTCCAAAACAATTGGAACCAACAGCTATCAATCTAAAATGACATTAATCAAAATCATACATAATATCCGCATCTTGCTCCACGCCTCCTTGATGCCAGTTTTTAGGATCTTAATAAATCGTTCATTTGTTTTGTTGATATCCTGCTTTAAAATACTCAATATGTTGTAATCGAACGTGTTTAAGTCCGGCTGATCAGAAATCAGTTAAATTTTCAGAACTTTTACATCTTCTTTGTTGTGTATTTAGAGGGAACAATCTGGGTCCTGTTGCGTAGATGACCTTGAAGTAAGGTGTACGAGGATATTGAAATAAGCATAGACACAAAGCTTTTTTCTATGCTTTTTGGCCACAAAACTAAGACAATGGTTAGATGTTTGGTTCGAAAGTGTCCTTGACATCCATTTTATGATGCTGTGAACTACAGGTCATTTCAGGTCAAAACAGTAACTGTGAAAAATTTCTTGTTACATTAATTTTTTAACAGTGAAACCATGATTCCTGAAATAACTAACTTCTTTTTTGTATATTTCTATCCACCATGCTCCCTGTGGTGATACCTACTGACGGTACACTTTTAGATCAACAGTTTTTGATGGATGGATATCGTTAGGATCTTTGCATTTTGGGATTTTAAGGGTGTTAGTAAAATGCCAATTTAAATTCTTATTGATCTCGGCACTTTCAGGTTTTCTCTGGTTGTCGTTGTCAGACTGTCCAAATCTGGGAAAAAAGAAAGTAAGTGGTATCTAGAGCGTGTTCAGAAGAGGGATCATGTAGTGAGAACTATTTCCAATACGTATCTCCCTTAAAATTCCATTATAATGTATTGTTATAGCGCATCCACTTTGCAGTGTTTTTAGTCATTAAATTACTGTCTCGCGCATTTGTATTGTAAAATGTAAAATGACCAAATTTCATTGCGCGCTAGTGAAATTGTAACTTTCTCTAGCAAAATCTTTTTTCAATGCATTACTATAGAAATTCACTTTCCATTCACATAAAAAGTTACCTTCCATTTTTCTATATAAATATTCCCTTCTGACATATTTTTTATAATAAAGTCTTTTTCTCAAAGTAAAATTCTCGTTATTTTTTTATATATGGAAAAATCCCTTTCCAGTGTTTTCGTATATCATATCATTCTTTGGATATTTATAGTAAAATTCCTGCCAATGAATTCCTACACTGAAATTCTTTTCTATTTCTTTCCAGGAGTAAAATTAATTTCAAATATTTTCTGTAGTAAATTACCTTTCCCATATATTTCTACAATGAAATTACTTTCCACTATTTCCCCACTAAACCCGCTTTTTCATAGAAACATCAATTTCATTGAGAAACCTCGTTCCAATGCATTCCTATATAAAAATACATTTCTCTTATATTCTTATATTAAAATATTTTACCTTATGATTTATAATAATAAAAACCCATTCTTATACAGTCTTACACTGATATAAAAGAAAAACTCTTTGCAATGGATTCATATAGTAAAATTCACTTCAAATGCATTTCTACAGTGAAATCCCTTTCCAATAATTTCCTTTAGTAAACTCTCTTTCCTATTGGAAAAAAAATAACTTTCCAATGCATATCACTTTTAAAATCTCCTTCTAATGCATTTCTATAGGAAAAGCCTTACACTGAAATCACTTAGCATTTTTTAAAAGTAAAATCACTTTCCTTTTCATTCCTTAACTAATTTTTTTTTCTAAACATTTCTACAGAAAAAGTTCTTCTCATTACATTCCTACAACCAAAATAATTTCCCAGGATTTTTCTATAGCAAAATCACTTTCCGATAGATTCATAAAGGGAAATCACTTTGTTGTGCATAATAAAATCACATTTTTAAATGTATTTCCATAGGAAAATCATGTGGTAACATCCTTTTTCAGTATGTTCTTCTAGTAAAATCTCATTTTAATTCATTTTTACAGTGAAATCCCTTTCCGCTGCATTCATATACGAAAATTATTTCAGATGCATTTCGATAATAAAATATTCTTCCAATGCATTCCTTTAGTAAAATTTCTTTACAATGGCTTTTCTCTTTTTAATGCATACGCATATTAAAATCCTATTCCAAGTGCATTCTTGTAGAGAAATCTCTTTCCAATGCATTCCTGTAGTGAAATATCTTCCCTAACAAAATAATTTTTAGGCATTTCTTATAATAAAATCCTTTTCTAACACATTACTACAGTAAATTCTCTTTCCTAATTCCTTTACTAATACAGCCATTCAACGTTGCTTTCTAGTAAAATCTCTTTCCAATGTATCCTACCAGTGAAATCATTTTACAATGCATTCTTATAGTCAATTTTCGTTTTAATTATGTATAATAAAAATGGTTTCAATGTATTAAATTTAACTTTGTTTACTTTGTGAAATATTGGACTTATTTAGTTTTAGTTTCCTTATGTTTGACCCAAGTATTTTTCATTTTTTGTTTTTCCTTAGTACAAATATCTTTCTGTCATTATTTCATTTTTATTCTTCGCTTCTTTATTTTCTGTATTCTTTGGTGTCATCATCTTTGGAATAAATCCTTTGCTCGTTTTTTACCAATTCTTTTTTGCAATTTTTTTCTAATTCTTTCTTTCTTTCTTTCTTTCTTTCTTTCTTTCTTTCTTTCTTTCTTAATCTTCCTCCATTCTTTCTTTCTTTCTTTCTTTCTATGACGTCATCCATTACGCTTATCTGATCTGTCTTTTTGTCCCACACTGCCCCCTACTGCCCACATACAACGCCCGTCTTCATACAAATGTTTCTTTGATCATAAACTTCAAACACCACTCGATGGTCGCGTATTTTCCTTTCCTCTATTTGTAAGCCTTTTTATGGAAATTCGCAATTGATTTTTTGTAATCATTAGCCGTAAGGACGTAGACTTTTCGACTGCATCTTGCCCGCCTTCTTCAGCGAAAGTTTTTCGCTGATAAGAATGGACCTTCCCGCCTATGCTTACTGCATGTCAACAGGATACTCTGTCCCTAGGCGACTAACTTCAGATACTTTATTCATTTCTTCCGCATCCGCCTTTCATTCCTCCACACACGCACATACACACACATATATATATATATGGGGAGAGGGAGAGAGACAGTTATACACAAATGTTTTTGATACATTTTATTATTTTACGCATTTTTTTTCTAATTAATAATTCCGAATTTGATTTGATGCCATTTATATACTTAATTAGTGTTTTAGTAAAATGGTTGAAGTGATGATAAATAATAGAGAATTAAGAGTATTATTACCCCACAATTAGTAATTATAACTTTTGCATATCTCTCTTATATATCTACAAGTCTACCATTCGTCCATGCTTAGAATATTGCCGCTACATCTGGTCTGCTGATCTTACTATATATTTAGACATTCTTGATAAAATCCAAAGAAGAATCTGCAATGTTATTGATCTTGACCTGGCATCTCGACTTCAGTCACTTTCCCATCGCTGTAACGTAGTTTCCTTGTACCTTTTCTATAAATAATTTCCTGGTAAATGTTCTAAGGAACTCTCCTCTATGGTACTTAGACTCTATGAATTTAAGTGTAGTACTAGATTGGTGTCAAGATACGATCATTTTACAGTCGAAATGGCCGCTAGATGTAACCGGAAGTTCTATGCCAACAGTTTCTTTTCTCTCTCTACTCGCTTATGGAACTCTCTCTCTCGGCTTCTTACTTTACAGTCAACTTTGATGTTCAAAAATTTAAATGCGATGTCAATCGTTATCTTCTGTCCTCTTAAATTGTATTCTTTTATTGTTCTCATTCCTTAATAATGTTTTACTGTTGCTTTGTTTCGGGTGAAATGATTAAAAAAAAAAAGAAAAAAAAAGAAAAAAGGTAATTGACCTTCAGTCAAAAAATATGCTTGGCAGTAAATTATGTAATTTATATAAAGATCAAATAATAACAACATATGCAATAATAACATCAAAGGTTGTGCTGTTCTCATAACCCACAGCTGCATGTTTAGAATTCTTTCAGAAGGCCGATAAAAATTTTGCATCTTTTCTGTTAATTCACCACAAAATATTAATTCACCCCAAAATATTAAGTCACCCCAAAATATAAAGTCACATTCTTATACAGTCTTACACTGATATAAAAGAAAAACTCTTTGCAATGGATTCATATAGTAAAATTCACTTCAAATGCATTTCTACAGTGAAATCCCTTTCCAATAATTTCCTTTAGTAAACTCTCTTTCCTATTGGAAAAAAAATAACTTTCCAATGCATATCACTTTTAAAATCTCCTTCTAATGCATTTCTATAGGAAAAGCCTTACACTGAAATCACTTAGCATTTTTTAAAAGTAAAATCACTTTCCTTTTCATTCCTTAACTAATTTTTTTTTCTAAACATATCTACAGAAAAAGTTCTTCTCATTACATTCCTACAACCAAAATAATTTCCCAGGATTTTTCTATAGCAAAATCACTTTCCGATAGATTCATAAAGGGAAATCAGTTTGCTGTGCATAATAAAATCACGTATTAAGTCACCCCTGAAATATAAAGTCACGTCAAAATATTAAGTCACCCCAAAATATTAATTCACCACAAAATATTAATTCACCCCAAAATATAATTCACCCCAAAATTTTAAGTCACCCCAAAATATTAATTCACCCCAAAATATTAAGTCACCCCAAAATATTAATTCACCACAAAATATTAAGTCACATCAAAATATTAATTCACCACAAAATATTAAGTCACCCCAAAATATAATTCACCCCAAAATTTTAAGTCACCCCAAAATATTAATTCACCCCAAAATATTAAGTCACTTCAAAATATTAATTCACCACAAAATATTAAGTCACCCCAAAATATAATTCACCCCAAAATTTTAAGTCACCCCAAAATATTAATTCACCCCAAAATATTAAGTCACTTCAAAATATTAATTCCCCCAAAATATTAAGTCACCCCAAAATATAATTCACCCCAAAATTTTAAGTCACCCCAAAATATTAATTCACCCCAAAATATTAAGTCACTTCAAAATATTAATTCACCACAAAATATTAAGTCACCCCAAAATATAATTCACCCCAAAATTTTAAGTCACCCCAAAATATTAATTCACCCCAAAATATTAAGTCACTTCAAAATATTAATTCACCACAAATTATTAAGTCATATATAAAATATAATTCACCCCAAAATTTTAAGTCACCCCAAAATATTAATTCACCCCAAAATATTAAGTCTTCCCAAAATAAAAAGAATCCCAGAGTGAGCCCCTTCCTTTGCACACCGTTTGTGTTGACCTTAGCGATCGCACCAAATGAGGGCCACTCCGATGTTTGGGGGGTCTACGTTCGCGCTCACCCCGATGAAGAAGCCAAAAACAGATTTTTAAAATTTTTTTTAAATTATAAAAAAATTACTTGTAGGTACCTTGGATATCATCCGCACTTGTGAAATGTAATTAATTTCCCGATTTGTGGTAATTTTCAAGGTTGCCTTTCTATTTGTAAGCCTTTTTATGGAAAATCGCAATTGAGTTGTGAGTAAAGTGAAACAAATTTTGATTTAAAATTTAAAATTTCAAAAGAGTGCCAAAGATTTAATAAAAAAACAAACTTTGATTTAAAATTTATAATTTCTTGGGATGAATTAATATTTGCGATAAGTAACTTTACACCATATGGGGTGAATTAACAGAAAAGATCCAAAATTTATTTTACAAAATAAACATTTATTCATTTTTGAAAACATGACTAAAACCTGAATAAGAAATTGATCGATGCTTATCAAACCTGGGAAGGTTATAAGAAAATTCCCAAACAGTTTGACATACCTCGATCCAATGTTTTATTCATCGTTCCTAAATGGAAAGGAATTGAAAGCGTATCAATGCTTGCAAGATCACATCGTTCAAGGAATATTTCAATACAAGAGGTAGCAAAAATCACAAGTTCCAAAACTGACCGTAAAAATTCGAAGAACGCCGGAACAGAAGCACACGTGTCTAAAATTTGTATAACAAGGACTTCATGAAAGAGTGTCACAAAAACGTCACTACTGAAGAAAACTTACCAAAATACACATTAATGGAATACAATTATTTGGTTCGATAAAACAAAGTAATTAACTTATAGTACATTACTATTAACATTATGTTTGGAGATGAAAGAGAAAAACGCAAATGTAATGATAATAATAAGAATAAATAAATGAAAAAAATAATATCGAAAAAGTGAATCACAATTTTATGGGGTTGCTTTAACTCATCAATTACAGGTTAACTCCCTGGGGTTGAGGCCAAAATGGATTCACTGAAATGTCAATGCATTATTTAAAAAATCTGCTGTTGAGCTTGGTAGTGGATTTCCGTCAAGAAAAAAAGTCGAACACCGAACTCCTCCACGAACGAAGAGATGGGAAGGTGCAGGTTTCCGGCATTGGTACAGAGTCCCACTGTAGAATAGCAGAGGTGGGGCTTCAAACCACTTGTGCAGGTACTTTTTGATGCACAGTTACGTCTGCTGAATGAGATACCTAAGCCGAGACAGCAAACCATGTTGGTGGCACTAAGCCTTCAGTTTGCCGGAGGCATGGGTTCTGTCGATGGATTCAAGTCCATCTAGTGCCACTTTTTGTACCTTTTTACCTCGGTGCCAATCAGTGGAACTTCATACAGCCGTCCGAGGCTCTTCAATGGCTTCTCTTTGACTGTTGTGATCATGTCACCGTCCCAATGCAGAAGTGAATCTTTCTGACAGAGCCTCTGAGTAATGATAAGCTTTGACTTTTCTTGAGCTTCATTCTCGAGCACGTGAAGAGGTTATGGTAGCGCAACAGTAGTTCATCGCCACCGACCTTTGACGGGACCAGAATGATAATGTCATCTATGAACGCTCTGGAAGGAGGAATTACAATTTGTTCCTTAGTCGCCACTCCCTTTGTTGTGTCCGCTGTACCCTGTAATATCAGTTTCATGGACATAATGAAAAGAAGTGGTGAAATCACACACCTCATCATGATGCCGACCTCGAGGGCTTGCCAATTGCTGTAGTTTCCAACGGTGGACTGCATAAACACGGCTCTGTAATATTTCATTATAATTTCCCCGACTTTGCTAGGGAAATTGAAAAATTCAAAGGACACTCGAATTAGAAACTGATCCGTACATATTCATGAGATCAAGCCAAATTACATGAAGCTCAGTTTTATTTTGTTTGGCTGATATAATTGAGTTCCAAATCATGTGTGAATGCTCCAGACAGTTGGGGAAGCAAGGTATCCCAGCCTTCTGAACAGCTGTGTTTTATATAATGGTTACCACCTAGCAGGAAGTCCGTCATATGACGGGCATGGACCCCCCAAAATATTTTCTCCTCTACATTCAAGAGGGAGATAAGGCGGAAATATGCAATGCCTTTTGTATTCATTTCCTTAGGTATCCAAATGTCACCCAACAGGCACCATTGTTGTACAATACCTTGTTTCCATGCCAGCTAGAAGAGGTTGAAGAGTTGCTTGAGGACATTTAAACAATTCTTATATAACTTGCAGGATATTCCATTTATTATAGGTGCGCTACCGGCACGAGATTTGCGGACGAATTTCTGAATTTCCCTCAGGTTTAGCCCAGTCATTAAACATGACCTTTGGATCTTGGAGTCTAGAAAGGTCATTCATAGGAGGGAT